CAGCTGCTGCAGTTCTACATCACTGGAATTCTCTTTCAACAAACTCGGACCCTTGGATAGGGGCTGACTTCGGTCAGGAACCCAAGGACCCTCGGAGGTGACCCCGAGAAGAGCTTTTCAGCTGTTGTAGAACTATCAGTAGTAGGAACTAAGTGATTTTATCGTAACAGTTTTTCAACTGTGAGACTTCGTGAAAACGGTAATCTCACACGAGCGTTTATGATTGCGCACGAGAAGTCGCGAACATTCACGAGGGAAGTCAGCAGGAGAATTTGGCAGACATGAAATTTGAAGACAGTTATTCTACAGGGGAGAACCAAGCCAAATTCCGAAGCAGTTCGACAACCGTTTTCCTTGGCGCATCTGGCGAAGTCCTGAAGTTACAACTGCTTTGTGCTTTCTTATGCGTGTGTGCTAGGCGAAATATAAATGCGTGCTTGTGTTCAATCTTTTTGAGTGAAGTTTTTCTCTACCATCGTATTGACGTGATGAGAAATTTCTGCACACAAGCCAATTCGTCTTCAATGTTGCGCAAGGAGTCTTGGGAGTGCTCTAGTGCACGTCGTTGTCTTTACACTTAGTGCGTCCCTCTACAAAACACGGACCCTTGGTTAGGGGCTCCAGGCACCCGAGGACCCTTGAAGGTGACCCCGTGGGGACTACTAAGAGTGACTTAAAGGGCGTGTATAGAGTTTCTAGATCTCAATAGTAGTCATCACGAAGTGGACACGTACGCCCTGGATAGGGAGCGTCCACCGCGTCCGTAGCCTGGATGTTCGGCAAATTAGATTGCGGGCACCTCGGAATAAAATAAAAAATCCCGACGAATTAGCGATCCACGAATTCATCCGGACTGTAAGTTTGATGGGGATCTGGTTCGATTCTGCCGACCTCCATTCTTTCTAGCAAAGCCAACCCACACAACCGCAAGCAAATGCCGACCACATCTGGCAGATTTTGCAGCCAGAGTTAGTCGACGATTTAAGTTTCCTAGCTGCAGTACGCACGACCCAAGCGTATATCCAGCATGGTAGGATGGGTGGGAGAGTACGCACAAGGTAATTGCATGAGATGATGAATGTTAAATGTGGACAAATTCTTTGGACAGCGTGGTACCCAGCCTCCCTTCTCCCGCTTCCCCCCTCTCTCCCATTTTGTTACCCTGCCCAAGTGATTTCTTTGCCTGCCCGACCGAAGCGTATATCCAGTGTTCGGAGCTGGACATCTGAGTGTCCAGCATAAACACGCTAGCATATTGGATGCTGGACGCATCTATGTCCACTTGAGAGTAGAACAGGATCAGCAAATGATGAGAGTGTTAGTATCTCCATCCTAGTCTCATCTCGTTGCCGACATTCTTGGTGAATGTGGAGGCCTACACAGACACAGTCTGAGCCCAAGTGTAAGGCTTCCGTAATAAAAAAATTGAAGTTCCCTAAATGTGGGTTTTTTCTCAGTTGTTTGCAATTGACCAAGAGTTTTGGTGGGAGGGTCACCTTACAACACGCTGACTGAAGGCCAGGACAGGTGGTTGGGAAATGCATCTGCAAATCGGTTTGAGCCTAGGAATCTGCAAAAACAGCAGGGAGAATCAAAGTTCAAAAATCATGTGTGCAACAAAGCAACACTACTGGCTGAACCCACAACAAGATCAAACTCATGACACCCCAAGCCAGGATCCTATGGGATGCATACATCATTGTAAGCCAGGTCATCTCGCTGATCACATCAAGGCCCGACGACAGCTGGTTGATACCAAGGTCCCTGAAACACATCAGGAGTTGCACATACATGTAGTGTATTAACGAGCAGGAAAAATCGGTCCGGTCATTTGCCACCGTGCCCATCGCTCCCTCGCTACCCTACGTCCTATCGGAGAACCTCATTCTTGCCACCTGCACTTCTTCTTGTCACTCCCTTGCCTTCCTTCCTTGCACGTTGTTGATTAGCCTCAGTCACTACCATGAAAGAGTTTCTTCCCACTCCCGCAGGTTCCCTTCTAGTGACATGCCACATGATGCAAGACCTAGAGTGACAACTTCCACTGCAACGAGAGAATAACAGGAGAAGAGCAACGAGACGGTGTAGGATACTGATTTTACCTGTGCCTGGCTCAAGTCGCACACCTCTCAATGTGGGATGTTTCCTCTAATCCTTCCTCGCGTCAACCCCCCTGATTCCCTAACAACGTACCCTTAAATTGTAATCATGCAATCACGACACCTGAACCTACACTTGCGTCAACACCCGTGTAGAAACTGTTACCCGCATATGCACGAAGTACATGTTCGGTGACAGCCCTCGCATCCCAACGCTCTCCTCACATCCCAACGCTCTCCTCACATCCCAACGCTCTCCTCACATCCCAACGCTCTCCTCACATCCCAACGCTCTTCTCACATCCCAACGCTCTCCTCACATCCCAACGCTCTCCTCACATCCCAACGCTCTCCTCACATCCCAACGCTCTCCTCACATCCCAACGCTCTTCTCACATCCCAACGCTCTCCTCACATCCCAACGCTCTCCTCACATCCCAACGCTCTTCTCACATCCCAACGCTCCCCTCACATCTCAACGCTCTCCTCACATCCCAACGCTCTCCTCACATCCCAACGCTCTCCTCACATCCCAACGCTCCCCTCACATCCCAACGCTCCCCTCACATCCCAACGCTCTCCTCACATCCCAACGCTCTCCTCACATCCCAACGCTCTCCTCACATCCCAACGCTCTTCTCACATCCCAACGCTCTCCTCACATCCCAACGCTCTTCTCACATCTCAAAGCTTACCTCACATCCCATGGCTCAAGTCACATCCCATCCCATATCTCTTCCTGCTTCTCACCGGTCCAGTGAGCCTGCCTTTCCCTCCACACCCGGTTCCACTATTGGGAGCGCATTTGAGTGAGCTTGCACCAATGTGTGCTGTGTGCAGTACTTGCGTGCAACAAAGACACCATCGTTTCAAAACCTTTATCCTTTCGTGCTTGGCCACTGCATCCTTGCGAACCCTCTACCTGACATGATGGCAAATTTGATACGCACAGCGAAGAAACATATATGAGGTTTGTGAAAGACCGCGGAATGGCCCCGGTAAAGTTGTTGGCAGTGAGTTCCCTGAAAGCACGATACAATGAAGCAATGAGTGCTTGGGAAATTCAAACAGAAATCCCGACGGGATGCATGGAGTGGAGGTAGACATGAAAACAAAGGAGGACCACTGTTCGGTTTGACTCAAACATTTTCGAGTCGAACAAAATAGGGAATCCCTTTTCCCCAGAAATGTTTGACCCGAACATGTTGTGTTCACTAGAAGCCGCGTCAAACACAGACTCATTTGAAGGGGAGGACACTGTACTGTTCACCTGTCTGTGTGCATGTTGCAGTTATGATCACAGGCCCAGTTTCTCCCCATAGTATTACCAATCTGCCCCAGGTTATTCCTCACTGAGCACCTGTTCCCCCAGAACACTTAACAGTTGAACACTCATTTCCGAGATAAATTGTTTGGCTGAAGCTGTACAACCTTCCAACACAACCATTCTCGTCTTGCCTTGTGCACACACAGGGTTACGAGGCTGGAGAGAGAGCCAAGAAACTCCGGAATGCGGCCGGAGAATTGATTTCCCGAAAGGTCACTGCAATGGAAGGCAAGAGAGTTGGTTAAGCTGGAAAGGTAGGAGGAGGGCGTTGGAGTGTTGGATGGATGGAGTTGCCGACATGCCAATAACCGAGAGGCAAGTGGTATGAATGTATGTATGTATGTATGTGGTTGTGGCTTACAGGTTGGGTGCAAGAGAGCTGCGGGGGCACGCACAGGCTGCTGATAGTGGTGGAGAAAACTGGTGGAATCGTGCCATCCATCTTGTTTGTCGTCAAGCTCCTGAGGCACGTGCGGACGGATCACAACCACAAGACATACAGCTGGTTGATCCACCAAGGGTTACGGTGTCTACAAAGGGAACACAGTTGTGTCAAGTCAGCGGTATAGCAAACGTTTTTTTCCTTCGACCAATGATCAAAGCACTGCTGTGCAAGAACCAACACAATCAAACTTTTACGTTCATGGATTATTTCTTTCAAAGGTCCTCAAGTGCGTGTTATGGAAATGGGTTTGCGCGGAGTGGTATGTGTGGAAGCGTGTGTTCCCAAAACATCAGATGCAAACATGCCCAGGTCAGTCAAGAGAATGTGTGAGATATGTTTCATAATAGCTATTTACAGCGGGCACATTGCAGTGAGGGCGGTGAAAGATGATGGAATGGAGCCTCGGATCTCGTTCCAGGCAAACGATCTGCACGTTGGTGACAGGGACACGATTCAAGACAAAATATATTTGCATGTTAAGTGAGCGAACGGTTCACAAATCTTGGGAAACAGTCAACAGCAGAAGAAGAATGTGTACCTACAAGCTAACACAGGCTACTACTACACCAACTCGGGCTGAACCTGGTTCCGCCCAGGTTGAACGTGGTCGGGGCCAGGTTGAATCTGGTCGGGTCGTTTCAACAATTTGGATTATCATAAAAGGTGTGAGATACGTAACATTGGAGAGGAAACTAAGTGCTGGAACTCAAAAAAAGGCTTAAGCAGCTGACGGTACTTCTTCGCTGTGACACTCACGAAAATGTTGAGAGGGTTCCAACCGGTCCAGAGATGGCATGCGTCAGGCCAGTTCGGTATTCCCTCATCATCCCCAAAAGCGAAACTTTCCTATTTTTCGGGCCGAGCCCGGTCCGGCCCACACTGGGCGAACACTGGGAAATTTGAGACCCAGCCTAGGACAAGAACAAACTGGCCCGGTTGGTCCAGACCGAATTCGTCCAGGTGCTCATCCTTGAACTAGGATATACAACGTACAGAGACACAAGTTGTAACTTTAGTTTTAAAATGTCAACCATACAATAGAACCTTGGGCAACAATCAAGAGTGGAACAAGAATCCGTAGCAATGGTGCACATTCATGCATGTGTGTCATGTGGAATGAATGCAATTATCATTGCCTGCAGTAGTGTTTGGTTGTGAAAAGCACGACGGGATCACATGGAGCAGCAACTAACAGAAGAAGAGAAGACAAAAGAATCAATGAGGACAGCAGGGAATTACTCTTGTGGTTGTGGCTGTGCATGCACGGCACGACACGAAGAGGCCACTCACAAGTAGGTGAGGTGGTTGAGCTCCAACTAAATAGTTGAGCGAGTAGGTGGTTGAGCGAGTAGGTAGTTGAGCGAGTAGGTAGTTGAGCGAGTAGGTAGTTGAGCGAGTAGGTAGTTGAGCGAGTAGGTAGTTGAGCGAGTAGGTAGTTGAGCGAGTAGGTAGTTGAGCGAGTAGGTAGTTGAGCGAGTTGGTAGTTGAGCGAGTAGGTAGTTGAGCGAGTAGGTAGTTGAGCGAGTAGGTAGTTGAGCGAGTAGGTAGTTGAGCTAGTAGGTAGTTGAGCGAGTAGGTAGTTGAGCGAGTGGGTAGTTGAGCGAGTAGGTAGTTGAGCGAGTAGGTAGTTGAGCGAGTAGGTAGTTGAGCGAGTAGGTAGTTGAGCGAGTAGGTAGTTGAGCGTGTAGGTAGTTGAGCGAGTAGGTAGTTGAGCGAGTAGGTAGTTGAGCGAGTAGGTAGTTGAGCGAGTAGGTGGTTGAGCGAGTAGGTGGTTGAGCGAGTAGGTGGTTGAGCGAGTAGGTGGTTGAGCGAGTAGGTGGTTGAGCGAGTAGGTGGTTGAGCGAGTAGGTGGTTGAGCGAGTAGGTGGTTGAGCGAGTAGGTGGTTGAGCGAGTAGGTGGTTGAGCGAGTAGGTGGTTGAGCGAGTAGGTGGTTGAGCGAGTAGGTGGTTGAGCGAGTAGGTAGTTGAGCGAGTAGGTAGTTGAGCGAGTAGGTAGTTGAGCGAGTAGGTAGTTGAGCGAGTAGGTAGTTGAGCGAGTAGGTAGTTGAGCGAGTAGGTAGTTGAGCGAGTAGGTAGTTGAGCGAGTAGGTAGTTGAGCGAGTAGGTAGTTGAGCGAGTAGGTAGTTGAGCGAGTAGGTGGTTGAGCGAGTAGGTGGTTGAGCGAGTAGGTGGTTGAGCGAGTAGGTGGTTGAGCGAGTAGGTGGTTGAGCGAGTAGGTGGTTGAGCGAGTAGGTGGTTGAGCGAGTAGGTGGTTGAGCGAGTAGGTGGTTGAGCGAGTAGGTGGTTGAGCGAGTAGGTGGTTGAGCGAGTAGGTGGTTGAGCGAGTAGGTGGTTGAGCGAGTAGGTGGTTGAGCGAGTAGGTGGTTGAGCGAGTAGGTGTTGAGCGAGTAGGTAGTTGAGCGAGTAGGTAGTTGAGCGAGTAGGTAGTTGAGCGAGTAGGTAGTTGAGCGAGTAGGTAGTTGAGCGAGTAGGTAGTTGAGCGAGTAGGTAGTTGAGCGAGTAGGTAGTTGAGCGAGTAGGTAGTTGAGCGAGTAGGTAGTTGAGCGAGTAGGTGGTTGAGCGAGTAGGTGGTTGAGCGAGTAGGTGGTTGAGCGAGTAGGTGGTTGAGCGAGTAGGTGGTTGAGCGAGTAGGTGGTTGAGCGAGTAGGTGGTTGAGCGAGTAGGTGGTTGAGCGAGTAGGTGGTTGAGCGAGTAGGTGGTTGAGCGAGTAGGTGGTTGAGCGAGTAGGTGGTTGAGCGAGTAGGTGGTTGAGCGAGTAGGTGGTTGAGCGAGTAGGTGGTTGAGCGAGTAGGTGGTTGAGCGAGTAGGTGGTTGAGCGAGTAGGTGGTTGAGCGAGTAGGTGGTTGAGCGAGTAGGTGGTTGAGCGAGTAGGTGGTTGAGCGAGTAGGTGGTTGAGCGAGTAGGTGGTTGAGCGAGTAGGTGGTTGAGCGAGTAGGTGGTTGAGCGAGTAGGTGGTTGAGCGAGTAGGTGGTTGAGCGAGTAGGTGGTTGAGCGAGTAGGTGGTTGAGCGAGTAGGTGGTTGAGCGAGTAGGTGGTTGAGCGAGTAGGTGGTTGAGCGAGTAGGTGGTTGAGCGAGTAGGTGGTTGAGCGAGTAGGTAGTTGAGCGAGTAGGTAGTTGAGCGAGTAGGTAGTTGAGCGAGTAGGTAGTTGAGCGAGTAGGTAGTTGAGCGAGTAGGTGGTTGAGCGAGTAGGTGGTTGAGCGAGTAGGTGGTTGAGCGAGTAGGTGGTTGAGCGAGTAGGTGGTTGAGCGAGTAGGTGGTGAGTAGGTGGTTGAGCGAGTAGGTGGTTGAGCGAGTAGGTGGTTGAGCGAGTAGGTGGTTGAGCGAGTAGGTGGTTGAGCGAGTAGGTGGTTGAGCGAGTAGGTGGTTGAGCGAGTAGGTGGTTGAGCGAGTAGGTGGTTGAGCGAGTAGGTGGTTGAGCGAGTAGGTGGTTGAGCGAGTAGGTGGTTGAGCGAGTAGGTGGTTGAGCGAGTAGGTGGTTGAGCGAGTAGGTGGTTGAGCGAGTAGGTGGTTGAGCGAGTAGGTGGTTGAGCGAGTAGGTGGTTGAGCGAGTAGGTGGTTGAGCGAGTAGGTGGTTGAGCGAGTAGGTGGTTGAGCGAGTAGGTGGTTGAGCGAGTAGGTGGTTGAGCGAGTAGGTGGTTGAGCGAGTAGGTGGTTGAGCGAGTAGGTGGTTGAGCGAGTAGGTGGTTGAGCGAGTAGGTGGTTGAGCGAGTAGGTAGTTGAGCGAGTAGGTAGTTGAGCGAGTAGGTAGGTTGAGCGAGTAGGTAGTTGAGCGAGTAGGTGGTTGAGCGAGTAGGTGGTTGAGCGAGTAGGTGGTTGAGCGAGTAGGTGGTTGAGCGAGTAGGTGGTTGAGCGAGTAGGTGGTTGAGCGAGTAGGTGGTTGAGCGAGTAGGTGGTTGAGCGAGTAGGTGGTTGAGCGAGTAGGTGGTTGAGCGAGTAGGTGGTTGAGCGAGTAGGTGGTTGAGCGAGTAGGTGGTTGAGCGAGTAGGTAGTTGAGCGAGTAGGTAGTTGAGCGAGTAGGTAGTTGAGCGAGTAGGTAGTTGAGCGAGTAGGTAGTTGAGCGAGTAGGTAGTTGAGCGAGTAGGTAGTTGAGCGAGTAGGTAGTTGAGCGAGTAGGTAGTTGAGCGAGTAGGTAGTTGAGCGAGTAGGTAGTTGAGCGAGTAGGTGGTTGAGCGAGTAGGTGGTTGAGCGAGTAGGTGGTTGAGCGAGTAGGTGGTTGAGCGAGTAGGTGGTTGAGCGAGTAGGTGGTTGAGCGAGTAGGTGGTTGAGCGAGTAGGTGGTTGAGCGAGTAGGTGGTTAAGCGAGTAGGTGGTTGAGCGAGTAGGTGGTTGAGCGAGTAGGTAGTTGAGCGAGTAGGTAGTTGAGCGAGTAGGTAGTTGAGCGAGTAGGTAGTTGAGCGAGTAGGTAGTTGAGCGAGTAGGTAGTTGAGCGAGTAGGTAGTTGAGCGAGTAGGTAGTTGAGCGAGTAGGTAGTTGAGCGAGTAGGTAGTTGAGCGAGTAGGTGGTTGAGCGAGTAGGTGGTTGAGCGAGTAGGTGGTTGAGCGAGTAGGTGGTTGAGCGAGTAGGTGGTTGAGCGAGTAGGTGGTTAAGCGAGTAGGTGGTTGAGCGAGTAGGTGGTTGAGCGAGTAGGTAGTTGAGCGAGTAGGTAGTTGAGCGAGTAGGTAGTTGAGCGAGTAGGTAGTTGAGCGAGTAGGTGGTTGAGCGAGTAGGTGGTTGAGCGAGTAGGTGGTTGAGCGAGTAGGTGGTTGAGCGAGTAGGTGGTTGAGCGAGTAGGTGGTTGAGCGAGTAGGTGGTTGAGCGAGTAGGTGGTTGAGCGAGTAGGTGGTTGAGCGAGTAGGTGGTTGAGCGAGTAGGTAGTTGAGCGAGTAGGTAGTTGAGCGAGTAGGTAGTTGAGCGAGTAGGTAGTTGAGCGAGTAGGTAGTTGAGCGAGTAGGTAGTTGAGCGAGTAGGTAGTTGAGCGAGTAGGTAGTTGAGCGAGTAGGTAGTTGAGCGAGTAGGTAGTTGAGCGAGTAGGTAGTTGAGCGAGTAGGTGGTTGAGCGAGTAGGTGGTTGAGCGAGTAGGTGGTTGAGCGAGTAGGTGGTTGAGCGAGTAGGTGGTTGAGCGAGTAGGTGGTTGAGCGAGTAGGTGGTTGAGCGAGTAGGTGGTTGAGCGAGTAGGTGGTTGAGCGAGTAGGTGGTTGAGCGAGTAGGTGGTTGAGCGAGTAGGTGGTTGAGCGAGTAGGTGGTTGAGCGAGTAGGTGGTTGAGCGAGTAGGTGGTTGAGCGAGTAGGTGGTTGAGCGAGTAGGTGGTTGAGCGAGTAGGTGGTTGAGCGAGTAGGTGGTTGAGCGAGTAGGTGGTTGAGCGAGTAGGTGGTTGAGCGAGTAGGTGGTTGAGCGAGTAGGTAGTTGAGCGAGTAGGTAGTTGAGCGAGTAGGTAGTTGAGCGAGTAGGTAGTTGAGCGAGTAGGTAGTTGAGCGAGTAGGTAGTTGAGCGAGTAGGTAGTTGAGCGAGTAGGTAGTTGAGCGAGTAGGTAGTTGAGCGAGTAGGTGGTTGAGCGAGTAGGTGGTTGAGCGAGTAGGTGGTTGAGCGAGTAGGTGGTTGAGCGAGTAGGTGGTTGAGCGAGTAGGTGGTTGAGCGAGTAGGTGGTTGAGCGAGTAGGTGGTTGAGCGAGTAGGTGGTTGAGCGAGTAGGTGGTTGAGCGAGTAGGTAGTTGAGCGAGTAGGCAGTTGAGCGAGTAGGTAGTTGAGCGAGTAGGTAGTTGAGCGAGTAGGTAGTTGAGCGAGTAGGTAGTTGAGCGAGTAGGTAGTTGAGCGAGTAGGTAGTTGAGCGAGTAGGTAGTTGAGCGAGTAGGTGGTTGAGCGAGTAGGTGGTTGAGCGAGTAGGTGGTTGAGCGAGTAGGTGGTTGAGCGAGTAGGTGGTTGAGCGAGTAGGTGGTTGAGCGAGTAGGTGGTTGAGCGAGTAGGTGGTTGAGCGAGTAGGTGGTTGAGCGAGTAGGTGGTTGAGCGAGTAGGTGGTTGAGCGAGTAGGTGGTTGAGCGAGTAGGTGGTTGAGCGAGTAGGTGGTTGAGCGAGTAGGTGGTTGAGCGAGTAGGTGGTTGAGCGAGTAGGTGGTTGAGCGAGTAGGTGGTTGAGCGAGTAGGTGGTTGAGCGAGTAGGTGGTTGAGCGAGTAGGTGGTTGAGCGAGTAGGTGGTTGAGCGAGTAGGTGGTTGAGCGAGTAGGTGGTTGAGCGAGTAGGTGGTTGAGCGAGTAGGTGGTTGAGCGAGTAGGTGGTTGAGCGAGTAGGTGGTTGAGCGAGTAGGTGGTTGAGCGAGTAGGTGGTTGAGCGAGTAGGTGGTTGAGCGAGTAGGTGGTTGAGGTAGGTTGAGCGAGTAGGTAGTTGAGCGAGTAGGTAGTTGAGCGAGTAGGTAGTTGAGCGAGTAGGTAGTTGAGCGAGTAGGTAGTTGAGCGAGTAGGTGGTTGAGCGAGTAGGTGGTTGAGCGAGTAGGTGGTTGAGCGAGTAGGTGGTTGAGCGAGTAGGTGGTTGAGCGAGTAGGTGGTTGAGCGAGTAGGTGGTTGAGCGAGTAGGTGGTTGAGCGAGTAGGTGGTTGAGCGAGTAGGTGGTTGAGCGAGTAGGTGGTTGAGCGAGTAGGTGGTTGAGCGAGTAGGTGGTTGAGCGAGTAGGTGGTTGAGCGAGTAGGTGGTTGAGCGAGTAGGTGGTTGAGCGAGTAGGTGGTTGAGCGAGTAGGTGGTTGAGCGAGTAGGTGGTTGAGCGAGTAGGTGGTTGAGCGAGGCCCAGTACTCAGGAAGAGCTCCAACTAAATTGTTGCCTCTCGCATCACTGCCATACCATGCCAGTGAGTGACAGTTGATACAGAGGACAACCGCCATGGTCGTGGAAAGTGCCATGCCCATGACATTCAAACCATAACAAGCACACGATCCGCTCATGATGAGCACCTCGTGTCGACTGTGATTGATTTGGACTTTTCATCAGATTTGAATCTTTCTCATGCGGCATGCAACTTGAGTTGCTCGAGTTAATTCCACACGCTGGAGCATCGGAGCTCATTTCCACACTCCAAATTCCTTGTCTTATTCTCTCATTCCTTATCCCTTCTAGCCAATTACCACGGTGGGATTCAGCGTTCTCCATAACATTGCTCCAACCACGGGTGATTCACACTGTTTTTATGTGAGGAAACGAACAATTGCTTACCTTCACAGTCATTGATCATGGTGCAGATCGGGTCAAAACAGCAGCAGTACCATTACTCTGGTCGAAAACAAAACTGCCGAATTTGCAGCCGGTTTGACACAAATTGGTTGAAGTTCAATCCAACCACCTAAAGCAGTTCAATGCGATTCCAAATAGATTTGAACCTCGGTGTGGTTCAAGTCAACCCTCTTCGAGTCATGCCAGTTTGATGCCTTTTTTGTTGGAATATAGTTTGACTCGACCGATTGCAGTTCCATTCCAGTCAAACCATTCGGTTTTGTTTGACTAATATTTCTGAGGCTCAAAGCGAACCGGCTCAATGCATATGCAGTTTATGTCAAACCTCAAGAGCTGTGATGCAGAAGATTCAGAGCGTCTAATTACTTGTAGTCTGTAGATTACTTGTGTCAGTATCTGGTGACCGAAAACACTTGGAGGACCAGTTTTGGGGTTGTTGTCGGATTGACCATGAGCAGATTATCGAACACCAGTTCAATTTGACTCGGATTTGTTTGACACTTCTTTTGTCCAAAAACAGCTCCACTCATCAAACATACTAGAGGTTCGGGTCGAACATTTTGTTTTTGCAGTTTTTGTTGGGTTGCATCTAACAACACCTGTTTGACTATTCAAACGTTCGATTCGAATCGAACATGTTGACTTATCCAGAACATTATTGTCGAACCTACAAAGATATAAAGACCTACTCGTGCAAATCGGGTCTCACAGATTAGATTCCAGGTTGACAGAGAAATTTCATAGCTTGTTTCAAGTCAAGCTCATTGTCTCTCTCCCTCTTCCTCTCCCTCTTCCTCTCCCTCTTCCCTCCCCATCCCCCCCCCCCGCCCCCCCTCTCCCCCTCCCGCCCCCCCCCCTCCTCATCCCAACCCAAACGCCTAGACAAAATCTGTGTGCATTGTGTTCGTAGTGCTGTTGTGCTTTGTTGAACAGAATAGCAGGATACTTAAATTACTTCAAGTGAGTTTTTTAACAGTCTGGAGATTCTTATTCCTTGGTGGGACATAAAAAACTATTACATTGAAGGAGGACATGGGGAGCAACAGGTCAGCAACAAGGAGAGTGATCGAGATGACTTAGGAGTCAAATTGGAGCAATGAGCACAAAAAGCGACGCTCACAACGCGAAGCCGGAATCCCGAAGATATTAAGCTTTTGCGACATATGGATGATGAGAAATCCTTGACAACGAAGGCAAAAATATGGAACGGGGAACTCACAAGTGCTGCAGGTGCGAGAGGCGGTGGAGCTCTTGAGGCACCACATGAGAGACTTTTGAGAATTCTCAAAAGGCACCACATCAGAGCACTACGTAGCAGCAATGTTGAAGCGCGCATTGTCACTGGCAGGGGGATGGAGAGGAGCATATGGCGGTGGAGGGATAGAGCACATAGGGGGTTGGAAGGATGGAGCACATGGGGATAGAGGTAGGCATGAGCAACGGGTCGACCCATCCCGACCGCGGGAGACCTGGGGCAGGGTACAGGTGCGGGTCAAATTGGCCACAAATTGGGTCAAGACGCGGAAAATTCGACTGGATCAGGGCTTATATGGTCGGGTCGGGTCATCTGTGACCTGGGGGCGGGTTGGGACAACGCAATTGCGAATTGGGTTGTCCGACCAGCCAACTTAAAGCTCAAGGCCCAACTTGCGTAGAGCTCGGAGCAACCTTACTAATCTTCATGGAAGTGCTTATTTTGCGAAAAGTGCTTACGAGAAGCGCGAAGCGTAATGACTAGCCAGCATTGTGATTGTCGAATTGGAGAGCACATCAATGATATTGTGTGTGCAATATGGGACTCTCGAATTAAACACAAGATCAACCCTGGGGTTTGCTGAGTCGAAAATCCAGAGGGTGTCGCGCGAAGCAAAACATAAGAGCCAACTCCAACCAACTCCTCAACCTTCTTACTCCAGCTTTCCTCTCTCGCCACCCAGAAGTCAAACTTAGAAAGGTTGAGCTATTTGGGCCTCTAGCTTTATCTTATCGTCCGTGCACATAGGTGATTTCGACTCGATTTGAGGTGGTTGGGTTGGGAAAACACGGTTGAATTAGCCTTCTTATCTAATTCATATCCTAGTATATTGTACCTTTTGTGGGTCGGGTCTTATACCAACAACTGAACCTTACCCAAATGTGATCAACCGAATCCCCAACCCACAAATTGAAGATTTCTGCCAATCCCATTGCTCCTAATTCCCTCCCTATCTTTTATTGCCTACTGATGTACTTAAGAGGCTTGAGCACATTACCCGATGTATAGATTCTACCCCAAGTTCTCACATGCGATTAGAGGGAAGCAACATCCACATGGATCATTATCTACGTCAACTCACGGAAACTAAAACTGCACTCCCTAGCGTTGCCTCTCGACTTCCATCATGTGGCGCTGATTCTCTCTGGTGCCACATCCTTGCTGGCTGTAAAATTTCCCGTGCCATTCTTCTAGTTATCAATTTCTAACAGCCTCGCCATTCCATCAAGTTAGTACCCAAATCATCGTCGCACAATTTTTAGGCAAGATATATGCATTCTGACTAGACATGAGCAGTGGGGTTGACCCAAACATTTTTGCTCCACCCACCAAGGCAAGCAGGCACTGTCGAATCAGGTCGGGTCGTGTCGGGGGACTGCGGGGCCTTGCATAACGTCACCCGATTTCTTGCCTTTGCCTCGTGAGGTACACTGACCATCACGGGTCTCCTTAAATGCTCGCAACGCCTAGTCAACTCTGCTGAGCAGTATGGTGGCTAGGGAGAGGAGGCGAGGATGGTCAAGGTGAGGGAAAAGCTTGGTGCTGCTGAAGAGAAACTCACAAGTGTCGCAGAGCTGTCAATTCCACCACCCATCGGGGAAACTCGGTAGTTTCTTCCAGGAAGCTCACGTCCCTGAGGTACGTGATGGTTGATGGTTGTAGAGTAGAGGCACAGGGATATGCACATGGGTCGGCAGGACATGCTCATGCGTGGCAAGGACGTGCACATGAATCGCGATGACATGCACACATGCGGAGGCAAGTGAAAAATAACCTTAAAAAATATTGATATATATATATATATATATTGTGGGAGTTTTGGCATATAACAATAACATCTGCATAGACGTACGAGCATAGTACAGAACCTCAGTTTGGTTCGATCCAAAAAAATTCAAAACAAAACCAGATCAAGACAACGCGCTAAGTTTAATTCAACGCGCTAAGTTTGATTAAACGCGCTAAGTGTAATTCAATGCCCATTGTGCGTTGATGATTAACACTCCGCTTAGCTCGGTCAGAATCAATGTTGAACAGCCCAATCTTTTTTTTGTCGCATGGGCACAACACATGGCCCGACCTGGCCCGACCTGACCCGACCTGACACAACGCGACCCGACCCGACCAACTTTTGGCCGGGTTGGGTATGCCTAGCTGATCCTGCTGACCGAACGGATTGGGTCGGATTTACTCGACCGGGTCAGGTCAGCACTATATTCGAAAGGGACTTCTTTGATCGGGTAGTGTTTGACCGGCCAAATTGGATTACTAAACAAATCTGTTAGGCCCGATCCGGTTCCAATTGTTACGCCAACCTCCACATTTTTGGGTGGGTCCACAAATTTCGGTCGACCCAAAATTACGGTATGTTAATACCTCCAAGTCTGTTTATCTACCTTATTAAACGCTCCATTTCAAACAAAAAGTCAGATTTATCCTTTAAAAAACGCAAAATAAAATAAATTGGCTCTAGTAGGTCGCCTCCCACAGCAGGGCGCGCGTCACCTATCTGAAGCGTGAGCGGTTCTTGCCACCATGCACCAGCAAATTTTGCAATCATTGCCCAATCCATTCCCTTCGTACAATGCTTCTCCAAAACATGCATAAATATGTTTTGTTGCAAAGCGTAAATACACCCACAAATCAAAGAGCGGGAAGGACAGTGGACAAAACTGCAGGGAGCGGACAGCCCACAGGAACGGGAGGCCTACAATACCCTTTTAAACCACGTTACAGGCTTTGCAAGGCTTTAAGAGAAGTGAGAAACGTGAGGGCCGATAGGTCCCCTTCCATGCTGCTCACGCCCGCCATCACCCTGGTGTGGTATCGCGGGAGGGGGACCGGGGTCCATGGGGGGGAACACAGGGCACCGAGCAACAGAAAAACTCCACTCTCATGAGAGACCTCCACCCCATAGATCCCCCTCCATGCTGCTCATGCCCGCCATCACCCTAGTGTGGTGCCGTGGGTGTGGTGCTGCGGGTGGGGGGCCCACGGTGGGCAGCATGAGCGGTGTCTTAATTTGTGTGACAAGATTCGAAGAGGGCAACATGGGAGAACCATCAACAAGGAGGATACACTTCAGAGAGCAATTAGGGTTTCTAACAGGGTCACTCCGCTCATTGAACATGAGCAGAACCAGACCGTTTTATTTGCCTTGAATGAGCCCAAGCTGGGCTCGAACCATTTCGCCCGGATCAACACCACACTCCCAAGCCATGTCAAATTGTGCATGCAAGCCGTACAGTGCATTCAGGTTGGTGAGGCTTGAGATCCATGAAAGGCCCTCCACAATCCCCGTGATATTTGCTGAACCAATATTGCTGATCGAATCAACACGGGATGAGGGGGTGAGATGGGGGGATGGGGTAGCGGAGGGGTAGGGTGCGAAACAGAATCAGGGGTGGGGGGGGGAGGGGGGGGAGGAGGTCGGTATGAAGGAGACTAGGGATGAGCAAAGGGCGAACACGAACGTGTTCGCGTTCGCCCATGCACGAACACCCCTGTTCGGCGAACCGAACACTGTTCGGTTCGGCGAACACCTTAAGCAAAAACAGGTGTTCGCCGTTCGCCTATGAAGGCGTGTTCGGGCGAACCTCGAACACGTTCGTGTTCGTCTAGGGGCAAATTGCAGCAGCGGCCCGAACACGAACGTGTTCGGGCGAACATCGAACACTGTTCGGCGAACACTTCAAGCCCAAAAATTTAACCTGTGTTCGAGGCGAACCAAACAGGTGTTCGTTTTTTTGCTCATCCCTAAAGGAGACTATGGGAGGGAGAAAAGAAGTGGGAATCCTGATTTTGCGATTCCGCTTGGCTGTCCCTGAATTCTAGTTCCGAAGGACACTTGCCACCGCTGACAGTTTGCCTTGAGCCCTTGATGCACGCAATTGAATTGGTGACGAAAACTCTCGAGATTTTTGGGGGCGTGTGAGGCAGCTACATGCAGGTATGACGATGTGCAGATTCTTAAGGCGTTGCCTGCTGATAAGCCGTCAATGATAAGAGTCGAGCTGACAGAACAGATGGCAAGGAAATGAATCAACAGTGGTGCCATTACTAATTTGCAACTTGAGAGGAAATTTCCGCGCATGCTGCTAGGTATGAGAACGCAGAGCATGGCAGGGCAGGGTACTGACAGGTAGGTGAGGTGAGCGAGGCGGCTGAGAGAAGATGGGAGGCTGCCCAACACAGAGGCGGTTGACAGGTCTCTGCCTTGGGAGGAGCAGGAGGAAGGGACACAGAACAGGATGTATGTGATGTGACGTGAGGGGGCACAACGGAATTGGAATGGAGATAAGGCCGTTGGAATGCACGTTTAGGTATAACGGCAGGCTCTTGGATTTGGAAGCACACACGCTCCACACGGGAGAGGGCGGCGGGAAGAGGGACACGAGAAAGGGGAGGGGAACGGGGTGGAGGACGCGCCACATATGGCCATGACGAGGAGGGGGGGATACATACAGCAGACGTGACATGACAGTGACGAGGCAGGGGGACTACAGTGACATACATGGGGAGGAAGCAAGCATGGCGTGGCATGGCATGGCAGTGACGAGGCGGCATACATGGCAGTAACGAGGCGGCATACATGGCAGTAACGAGGCGGCATACATGGCAGTAACGAGGCGGCATACATGGCAGTAACGAGGCGGCATACATGACAGTAACGAGGCGGCATACATGGCAGCGACGAGGCGGCATACATGACAGTAACGAGGCGGCATACATGACAGTAACGAGGCGGCATACATGGCAGCGACAAGGCGGCATACATGACAGTGACGAGGCGGCATACATGGCAGTGACGAGGCGGCATACATGGCAGTGACGAGGCGGCATACATGGCAGTGACGAGGCGGCATACATGGCAGTGACGAGGCCCCTGTGGTTGCACGTAACACCGGCCCACTGGCTGCAATGGCGGGAGAGGCGGCTGTTCCCCGACCACCCATGCAGCGCCGCATTCAGCTCCACCAGCACTCGCACTGCCGCCAGCCATGCAGTCCCACACGCGCGTGCACAGTTCGAGTGGAGCACAAGAGCAGGTAGGGGAGAATAGCGCACAGAGGAATGGGTAGAGCACATCACACAGAGGAAATGAAAGAACCTGCTTGGATGACAACTGGGGCGATGCAAGGATGGGGCGGCAGTGATGGGCAAGTGGTCTAGCCAGGCGTGAAACCGGCGAGCCTAGGGTCAGAGCCTAGGGTCAGAGCCTAGGGTCAGAGCCTAGGGTCAGAGCCTAGGGTCAGAGCCTAGGTTCAGAGCCTAGGTTCAGAGCCTGGGGTCAGAGCATAGGGTCAGAGCCTAGGGTTAGAGCCTAGGTTCAGAGCCTAGGGTCAGAGCCTAGGGTCAGAGCCTAGGGTCAGAGCCTAGGGTCAGAGCCTAGGGTCAGAGCCTAGGTTCAGAGCCTAGGGTCAGAGCCTAAGGTCAGAGCCTAGGGTCAGAGCCTAGGGTCCGAGCCTAGGGTCAGAGCCTAGGGTCAGAGCCTAGGTTCAGAGCCTAGGGTCAGAGCCTAGGGTCAGAGCCTAGGGTCAGAGCCTATGGTCAGAGCCTATGGTCAGAGCCTAGGGTCAGAGCCTAGGGTCAGAGCCTATGGTCAGAGCCTAGGTTCAGAGCCTTCGGTCAGAGCCTAGGGCTCGAAGCTCGACTTGCCACAATTCTTGCCCAACTGCGTGGTCGCATCGAGAACTCGAATGCGATAACGGTGTAACCAAGTGTTGAACCCAACCCGGCAAACGATCCTCCGCTGGGTGGCCCACCAGCGAAGTCGCTGTGCTGCCCAGCGACATTTGAGGTTACTGCGTGGGCCTGAACCTACTGGGGCGTTGGCACCACCGGACCCAGTGGTCTAGCGACGCGTTAATGGGGCGGCAGTGAGGGCAATGGGGCTTTAATGAGGGGAATAAGCGACAGTTGAGGGTGACACACACAGCCTTGAGGGTTTTTTTTTCTGGAGGTATAAGCCTTTCTGTTCCCGATTATCAGCTACAGGGTATAACCAAAACTGCTTCAGACACATGCGCTCCAATTCATGGCGGAAATGACTTATCAGTCATGGCGGGACCTGAAAGCGGGCGCGAGAGGGTCTTTCGGGGATGTGGGCGCATCGATGGGGGTGGATTGGGTTGGTGACCTCACGTTGGGACGGTCGGAGGGTCGGGTCGGTGGGTCCCGATGCTGGAGCGGACGCCACGCCCGCCTGCCTGCTCACAACCCCCGCGTCATGGCTCAGTACCACGGCGAATCCGGCGGTTGCGTGCGATCCGCGCGATCCGTGCGACGCGTGCGAATCGAGCGAGCCATTTCGAAACCCGGCCGTCCAACGCCGCCTCTCTCCGTTTCTAGGTAATGATGATTGCGCGAAATTTGGATGTGTCAAGGCGACGGGAAGTGATGGCACTAGGAAGATCAGGGCAAGCGCGAATGAGACGAAGCAGGGGCAAGAAACTAAAGCCAGCCGTACGAAATTTCTATGGTTGCGCCAAGGTCGGGCCATAACGTATGTTTGCCGCTTTGAACGTGCAACTGCCATTCTCCCACTCTGCTCCACATATGCGTCATTACCCGCATCAGGTGTGGCGGAGAGAGGCAGCCATGAAGGGTGAGCAAGGGAATTTTGTGCGCCAGGTTCTTGGGGATTTTGTCCAAACCACTGGTGTGAAGCAATGACCGTTTGGGCGTTGTCGGAACGGCAACTGGAAACGGATGGATGGATGTGATCTGCCGACCAGCTGTGACCCGCCGGCCAGACCCGAGAGGTGACCTAATCCCCGCTACTGAAAGGTTAGGGTTCATGACCAAAATGACAGATAGTGGATACCGAATATTGTCGAATTTTCTTCGATCGAGTTTTGTGCGAAATTCCTTGCAATGTTTCCAACCGATAACAATTGGTTATGTTCATAAAGAGTGTCTCATTTCTGAGCTAATCGCATAAACCCTTTATCCTTTCCTTCCAGCCAACCTTTGCTTCGCCTGTCGAGTCTTTGGGTTTCCCACTTCAGTTCGCGCATTAGGCAAAGGCAGTGTTTCTCGGCCGTTTCGGGCAACGAGGTCAGGCAACGAGGGAGGCGTTTGCGCCACCGAGAGAACAGCGTTCGCTCGAAAAGTCACGTGCAATCTCCGTCCGAAGAGCTTCGCTGTTCAGCCCACAGCAGTTTACGATGGCGATGGCAGACGCCGAAGATACGCCGTCCGACGGAACGGGGGGCCAGGATGCGTCGCCGGCTGTCGTCAGGGAAACAAATGGACAGAAGGCAGGACTGGCGAAAGCAGTTATGGCGAAAGGCCAGCGAAAGCCGCCACACCGTCGCGAAAGGTACTTCGGCGACGGTAGCAATGCCGCGGAAGCGAAGAAAGTGACGAAATGGAAGGCCGGAACTGCCGCGCAAGGTTCCGGGCTTAAAGCGGCAGGGGGTCTAGGGGACGTGGCGCAGGGTTTAGGGTTGGCGGCGAGAGAGGCTGGAGGCGGGGAGGCGGAAACGGACTGGAGCGCGTGGGGGAAGGATTCCGCGGATGACGAGGGGAGGGGGAAGGGCGAGGAGCGGAGGGAGGAAGGATTGGTGGAGGAGGGGGAGGTGGAGGATGATGAGGAGGGGGAGGATGGCGTGGACGCGGAGACGCGCGGCAGGATGGGCAAGTACAGCCGCGGCAAGGCGCTCAAAACCGAGGTGCGTCAAAACCGAGGTGCGTCAAAACCGAGGTGAGGCGGTGACGAGCTGGGTGAGGGGGCGCGTGCGGGTGGTGGGGGTGCTGCTTGGACTAGGGGATCGTTAGGGCGATTGCGGTTGAGCAAGTGCGGTGACAAATGAGGTGGTTAAGTCCGATGCGAGGCGTGAGTGCTGCAGAAGGTCATTGCGTGCGGAGCGAGGAGCGCGGTGCGCGCAGTGGTGCGCGCAGTGGTGCGCAGAGTGGTGCGCGCAGTGATGCGCGCAGTGAACAGGCGTGGACAGGGGCAGGCGAAGCTGGCTGTTGCGGGAGGAGGGGGTGAGGGGCGTGGAGAGTTGGTTGTAGGTGTGGTGAGGGGCGCGAACGGCTTTATTTTGGCGATGTGTGAGCGGTGCAGAGCGGTGATGTCGTGAGGGTGTTCCGCGTCAAGCCTCCTCATGCTGCTGGTGCTGCGACAAGAAAGGGCATCTGCCCCTCTCTTATCCGACCTCCGCCCCTCACCCCTCCTTTACCCCACCTTCAACCCCTCTTAATCCCCCCATTCAACTCCAACCCCCTCTTCTCCTCCTTCCATTCATCCCGCCCTTCATCTCCCCCTTCGTCTCCCCCTTCATCTCCCCCTTCATCTCCCCCTTCATCTCCCCCTTCATCTCCCCCTTCATCTCCCCCTTCATCTCCCCCTTCATCCCCCCCATTTATTCCCCCATTGGTCCCACTCTCGCTTAAACCCCCCCATGTATCCCTTTCGCACCCCCCTCCCTTCGCGCCTCTTTTTCGTCCTCCCCCTCGGCTCCCCTGCTCGTCCGCTAGTTCCTTCCGCCTCGTCTGTGCATCTTCTCTGCTGACCCCCGTTCTCCCTCTCCTCCCTCCCGCTTCTCGCCCCCCCTTTTCTACGACTCAGAAATTCCCGGGCAGATTGAAAGCAAAGATGGAGCATCGGGAGAAGGTGATTGGGCAAGGAGTCTTGACAGCTGCCCAGGCAGAGAAGGTACGCGAGCAACCTCCCTCCCTTGGCTCTCCCCTTCACTCCTTCCCATCGCCCCGCGCTCCTCCCTCCTTGCCTGCACCTCAATCGCCCTCCGCCATGCTCTGCTCGCCCTCCTGTAATCTTATTCCGGCCCTCCTTTCCCAATCCACTCCCGCTAACCTGCCCTCGTCTCGTTGCCCACTCTCCGTTCCCGTCCCTACAAGGTCCCCCATGCCCGAAACCCCGGCTCCCCCCACCTCTCGTCCTCCACTGCATGGTCGAATGACGTGCAGGGCGCTTCTCTCTTGCTCCCACCTGCTTTTCCCCAACCCCACTCCCTTGCTCTCCACGCCCTCCTTCCTCTCTCCCAGTAGCTGCTGCCATCAGAGGCGGGTTGCCTGGACTGGAGGCGGAGGGATTGGTGCGCAGGAGAAACCTGACGCAGGCCGACACGTGATGCTCAAATCCTCCTTCCTTGCACTTCCCCCTCCCCTCTTCCCCCCAACCCACCCCACCCACCCACCCCCTTCAGTGGCTGCTGCCGTCAGTCGGAGGCGGGGTGCATGGAGGTAGAGGGAGTGGAGCGCACAAGCAACCTGTCCGGCATATGAGGGCAACCCCACACCCACCTGCACTCTCTCCCCTCCTCCTTCCCCGCCCACCATCCCCTCTCCCCCCCCCTCCCCCTTCCCCACCCACCACCCCCTCTCCCCCTCCCCCTTCCCCTTCCCCACCCACCACCCCCTCTCCCCCTCCCCCTTCCCCCCCCCCCCCCACCTCGTCTTCAACATCCCATGCCAGTGGCTGCTGCCGTCAGAAGCCGGGTACGTGGAGGCGGAGGGGGTGGAGCGCACGAGCAACGTGTCTCAGGCCGACATCGTGCAGCACGTGGGCGCCGCCAGCCGACGAGCTGCCTTCGACCTCAAGCTGCCAGGTGCGGGCGTGGTGGGATGCTGGTGGTGTGATGGTGGTGATGGGGGGGCGGGATGGTGGAAGGGGTGTGATGCATGGCAGGGGCTGGTAGGCACAGTGCAGTGCAGTGCAGCAGCGCATGGGTCATTTGGGCACGTGTTTTGACCTTGAGCGGGTGGATGGTGTGGCCACGAGGGTGGTGTGGTGGGGGGGAGGTATGGATGGTACAACTCTCCAGCAATCCTCCCCAACTGCGTCCAACTCTCCTCATCCCCGTGCTTCTCTCCTCTCCCACTGCCACGCTCCCTGCTCTCTCAATACCGTACGTAACATAGGCCTTCTTGAACCAACTGTGTGTGATCACCTTATTACGTACCTTCTCAACTCAATCACTTCCCTCCAAACTCTGGCTCCTAACACAGGCAACCCTTGTTTGCGTTCACTCCTTTCTACCTTGCGTTCACTCCTTTCTACCTTGCGTTCACTCCTTTCTACCTTGCGTTCACTCCTTTCTACCTTGCGTTCACTCCTTTCTACCTTGCGTTCACTCCTTTCTACCTTGCGTTCACTCCTTTCTACCTTGCGTTCACTCCTTTCTACCTTGCATTCACTCCTTTCTACCTTGCGTTCACTCCTTTCTACCTTGCGTTCACTCCTTTCTACCTTGCGTTCACTCCTTTCTACCTTGCGTTCACTCCTTTCTACCTTGCGTTCACTCCTTTCTACCTTGCGTTCACTCCTTTCTACGTTGCGTTCACTCCTTTCTACCTTGCGTTCACTCCTTTCTACCTTGTGTTCACTCCTTTCTACCTTGCGTTCACTCCTCTCCTTTCTACCTTGCGTTCACTCCTTTCTATCTTGCGTTCACTCCTTTCTACCTTGCGTTCACTCCTTTCTACCTTGCGTTCACTCCTTTCTACCTTGCGTTCACTCCTCTCCTTTCTACCTTGCGTTCACTCCTTTCTATCTTGCGTTCACTCCTTTCTACCTTGCGTTCACTCCTTTCTACCTTGCGTTCACTCCTTTCTACCTTGCGTTCACTCCTTTCTACCTTGCGTTCACTCCTTTCTACCTTGCCCTTCTCTCCCCGCCAAACTCCCCTTCCTTACCTGCGAGACATCCCCTTCTGGCTTCAACCCAAAACAGCCCCTTTCCAGCTCGTTCGTACGCGAGCCAGCTTTCCCTGCTCTAACTCCCTTGTGGTACCTTCTTCTTCCCCCCATCAGAGCTGGGCCCATACAAGGCGGCCTACTCGCTCAACGGGCGCAGCCTGCTGCTGGGGGGGCGCAAGGGGCACCTCGCTGTCGTGGACTGGCGGCGCTGCCACGTCACCACCGAGATCCAGGTGAGGAGCGTCTGAGGGGCATGTGAGAGGGAACGTGTGAGGGGACGTTTGTGGGGATGTGCGTGGGACGTGTGTGCGTGGGACGTGTGTGCTTGGGGACGTGTGTGCGTGGGGACGTGTGTGGGAATGTGTGTGGGCGAGGGAGGGGCAAGTGAGGGGCGGGCAAGTGTGGCTGCGTCAACTTGCCCTCTCGTTTCCTCTCCCAGAGGGTGTCTAGCTTCATCTCGTTTCTGTGTTTTTCTCCCACCATCACTAGCTCTGCTCTGTCCTTGTATGCTCCCTTCCGCTCTCCTTGCTTGGTTTGTCTCTGTGTATATGGTCCTGTGTGCACATGATTGTGTGGATGGGTGTGTGTGCATATGCCTGTTTGGGCATGTGCCTCTTTGTGCATGTGTGTGTGTGTGTGTGTGCATCGGTATGTGTGTGCATGTTGCTTTGCGACCCACCAGGTGCGGGAGACGGTGCACGATGTGTGCTTTCTCCACAACGAGCAGTTCTTTGCCACCGCGCAGAAGAGGTGAGCAAAGGCCGCCTGCACGCCACAACGCTGTCTTCCGCTCGTGTGGTACATGTAAACGCGCATGTATCGTTTGCCGCCGCGCTCACGAGGTGAGCTCCTCCGTGCGTGCCTTGCCAATAACCATGTTTCCACACCACACCATGTTCATACTGCTGTACCATGCTCCTCAAGCGTTTCCTCCCATCCCCATCCAATCTGTGTTCTCTTCCCCCGGCCCCCTCCTCCCACCTCTCCCTTCCCGTCACCCCTCCCCCCTCGCCCCTCGCCCCTAACCCCAGGTACACGTTCATTTACGACAAGAGGGGAATCGAGCTGCATTGCCTCAAGGTCCGTTGTCGTGTTCTAACCTTCCATTTTTCATGCTTCGCTCGCCGCCATCGCTCCCCCCACTCCTCCCTTGCTCCTCTTACGCTTCTTCACCCCCCATGCCCTTACCCACGTCGTGAGGCCTCTTGCCGTCCCATGGCAGCACTGCACCACCACCCCTTGCTCATTGGCTCACATGCTCCTCTTCCCTCCTCTTCCCTCTTCCCTCCTCTTCCTTAATCTTCCCTCCTCTTCTCTCCTCTTTCCCACCTCTTCCATCATCTTCCCACCTCTTTCCTCCTCTTCCTTCCTCTTCTCTCTTCTTCCCTCCCTTCCCTCCTCTTCTCTCCTCTTCCCTCGCACCCTCCTCCTCCCTCCTCTTTCTTCCTCTTCCCTCATCTTCCCTCGTCCCTCCTCTTCCCACCACTTCCCTCCTCTTTCCTCCTCCATGTTCTCCCACCCCCCGCAGAACATCACGGGCAGCGGGGCGCTGCGTCTGCAGTACCTGCCGCACCACATGCTGCTGGCGTCCATCTCCAAGGGCGGGGTTCTGGACTACGTGGACACCACCACGGGCCGCCACGTGGCGCAGTGCAAGACGCGCAAGGGGCGCTGCGACGCCATCACAGCCGACAGCCGCACGGGCGTGATCTCCCTGGGCCACAGCAACGGCACCGTCTCCCTCTGGAGCCCTTCCATGGGGACTCCCCTCGCCACACTGCTCGCGCACCACGCGCCGCTCACGGCCATTGCGAGTGATGCGTCGTCTGGGAGGTACCTGGTGACGGCGGGCATGGAGGGGCGCGTGCGCGTGTGGGACGTGCGCACGCTGCGCGAGCTGCACTCGTACGTCTCGCCCACGCCAGCGAGGACGGTCGCGCTGAGTCAGCGCGACATGCTGGCGGTGGGGTTCGGGTCAGCGGTGGAGGTGTGGAAGGAGGCGCTGACAGCGAAGCAGCACACGCCGTACCTGAAGCTCAGGATTCAGTCGAGCGGGGCAAACAGGAACACAAGGAGTGGTGGTGGAGGAGGGGCGGCAGCGACTTTCGCCGGAACCACAGCAGCAGCAGCAGTGGAGAGACTTTCCTTCTGCCCGTACGAGGACGTTTTGGGCACTGGGCACGCGGAAGGGTTCTCTTCGCTGCTTGTGCCCGGGGCAGGCGAGGCGAACTTTGACTCGTTTGTGGCGAACCCGTTTGAGACGGGGAAGCAGCGGCGCGAGGCGGAGATCCACATGCTGCTGGACAAGCTGCCGCCCGAATCCATCATGCGCGACCCCGACCGCATCGGCACCCTCCTCCGCCCCCACGACCGCCAGCGCACTCTCACCAATGCGCTCGTCTCCAAGGCTAACGCCGCGGCTCGGGCAAAGAGCCTCGGGAAGAGCCCTGGGGGGGAAAGGAAGGGAGGGGGGAAGGAGGGTGGGGAAGGTGCTGGTGGTGGGGGAGGGGGAGGGGGAGGGGGAGGGGAGGAGGAGGGGGATGAGGAGGATGAGGAGGAGGGTGAGGAGGAGGGGAAGGATGGGGCGAAGCGGCCTCGGGAGAAGAACAAGACCAAGGGGCGGAACAAGCCGTCGAAGCGAGCCAAGAAGAGGAAGATGAACATTATTGAGAGCAAGAGGGAAGCCACTCGGAGAGACGTGCGTGCCAAGGAGGGGGGAGGGGGAGGGGCGGGCGGAGGAGGGGAGGAAGGGAAGTCGGCAGTGCCGCTTGCTCTGGCTCGGTTCCAACGGAAAGGAGCACGTGAAGGGGTAGCATGACAAGGGGGGCATGACTGAAGAGCAGTACACCACCAGGGGAGGCGGGACCAGTATTTGCTGACTCTTCTGATTTTGTTTCAGAAACTGTTAGCATGAACTTAAATGCTTTAGAGAAAAAAATGTGGTATTACAAAAGTGGCAGTGTTCTTTGCTACGCAACTGCTTTGTAATGGTAGCGCTCAGTACATGGCCATTCCCATCAGCAGTTTACAGGATGCCACCGAAACGCATTGTCTCCAGTGAAACCACGCTATCCTAGCAGCAACTGAACATGTACTGAATGCGAGCACTTCATCTGTCAGGACACATACCGTCACCCCCCGGATATAAGCGCCACCCTAGGATAAGCGCCTGGCGCTTCTAATTGGCATATGGCGCTTATATCCCCTCCTCGATTATAAGCGCACCCCCTGAAAAAACTAGTTTTATTATAAGCGCACGTAAACTTTAAAATTTGAAATGTGTACAAAACGTTGTAATGATTTTTACTTTAGCAGGCAGATATGTTGCAGATTCGGTTCCCTTCACATTCGGACCCTGCACTGGATGCGGGTCCAGTCAGCAGGAGCTGTCAGGAGCTGGATGTGAGTCAGATTGGGTGTGTCTCCCAGCGCGCGCGAGAATTTCACAGACGACCCCATGTAAATTCGACTCGATTGAAAGGGCAAGCACGAGACCTACAGTTTGGTGTTAAACAATATAAAAAATATGAATGTCATTTTATAAACGCCGGCGCTTATAAATTTACTCGATTATAAGCCCACCCCCTTGAAAAAACCTGTTTTATTATTGCCCCCCATGGGGGTATATCCGGGGGGTGACGGTACAGCCCATACATGTATCCAATGTCATCAGCAAGACACCCTTCAGTGGTCAGTTTGTCACACCTTGAAATATTCAGGCTATGCAGCATCTGCAGCTGGGTGAACGTCAGGCAGCGACTCGAGGTGCTTGCAGGATTCCAGGTCAAGAGCCTTGAGGCGGCTCATATGGGCGAAGTGGCAGGGCAGAGAGCGCACGGGGGTGTAGCCAAGGCTAAGCTTGTGGAGGCAGGAGAGGCGGGTGAGGGAGGAAGGGAGGCGTGTGAGCGATGTGCAGTGGGCCAGATTCAGCTGGCGCAGCCGGGACAAGGCGCCAATGCCATCTGGAAGCGAAGCCAGCTTGGGTGCATGCACTTCCAGGGAGGTCAGCCAGTGCAGCTGGGTGAGAGTGTCTGGCAGCCCTCTCAGTTCCGCAGCCTGCTCTACGCGCAGCTGCCTCAGCTGCTGCAAGGCCGATCCAAAATCATCCGGAAGTGCCTTCATGCGTGCAGCACTTCAAATGGTCAGTGTGCGGAGGTAAGGGCAGAACGCCAGGGAGAGTGGGAGCTCCTCTGCCTCACCTGCCAGAGCCAGCTCCAAGTGCTTAAGGGAGGTCAAACTCACGGTAGCCACCAACCCACGCACCAGGGCAACACCAGTCAAGCTCATATGCCTGAGCCTAGGCAGTGCAGGAAGCTATATGAGAGGGGTGAGCCGCTGGACGCTGCCCAAGCTGAGCGTCTCAAGCAACGGTGGCAGGGATTTGGAGACCTCTGGCAGCTGAGTACACTTGCCGATGGCCAACTCTCTCAGCCTTGCAAGGCCGCTCAAACTCCCGGGAATGGAAGAGAGCCTGCTGCAGCCGTCAACTCTAAAAAAACCTCAAGGCTTGCAAGGCTAGTAATAGTTTCTGGAAGCTTCTGGATCTTAGGGCATGCCCGGATGCTTAGCTCGCGTAAGTTACTCAGCCACCCCACGCCCTCTGGAAGCTCCTCTAATATGCCACACTGGGTGAGCTCGAGCCTTGTCAGTGACTTGAGCTGCGTGAACGAGCACGGCAGCAGCTCTTGTACGTGATTTAGAGTCACTCGGAGAGTGTGAAGGTCGGTGAGCCCTCCTATGTCTTCCGGAAGACCCAGCTTTGGCGAGTTGGCGATGCAGAGGGACTTGAGTGCATGGAGGCTGCCGAACCTTGCAGGCAACGCCGCCATTGAACGGCAGTCAACCAGATTCAAGACCTCCAGCATTGAGAGCTGAGAGAAAGATTCCGGCAGACCTGAGATGAGCACTTGCTGCATCGACAACTCTCTCAAAACGGGCAGCCTTCCAAATCTTTCAGGTAGGCTGACCACGTTGACCTCGGAGATTGTCAGCTTCAGGAGGCAGCTGAGGGAAGAGAAGTGATGAGGCAGCTCGGATAGATCAGGGGAGGCGCAGATGATCAACTCCCGAAGGCGTGGCAGCCGCTTTCCGATGTCGTCAGGGAGGCGCTCGAGCTTGTCAGAGCAGCTGAGAAGCAGCCGCTCGAGACGGCTGCACGAAACTCCTCGCGGAAACAGCAGGTCGAACCGTGGAGTGCTGTAGTTGAATTCCAGCGACTCAAGGAAAGGTATGTGGGCGAACGAGACGGGATACGCGTCCTCGCCTTCGAGAACGAGCTCCGTTTCGCCGCACAGAGAGAGGTTGGCGAACGCTGGCAGGTGCTCGAGGCTGGAGAGATCCAGCTCCTCCTGGTCCGACATGTCCACGGAGAGCGTGGCGAGAGACGATAGGTGCGTGAATCCCGGCGCTTCAAGTGCTGCGCCTCTTAGTTTGGGTATAGCCTCCGGCTAGCGTTGAAGGTAGTAAATGCTTGGAGAGAATTTCTGGTTTTTCAGGACTGATTTCACTCAAAACAGAGAAGTACAAAAAACTGATTGAAAAAACAAACACATTTAAGCATTTCGAAATGTGATGTGCGCCTCACGTAACGCGTCATCCGCGTTTCAGCCCGAGTCGCATGCGTAACTGAATTCGGTAACCGTCACCGGAACCAAAACCCGTTTGTCCCTTCCGCACCGAACACGGTTCGGTTTCGGTTGGACATTCTAGGCTTCGGAAATGTCTTCTCGACATTTCTCGAACCCTTGTCTTCCGTCATTCCGTTTCTCTCCGCTTTCTTCACGTTTTCCTTCTTAGCTTCCTAGCATGCAGCCCCACCGCTCTAGGTACCGGTTCCCCATATTAGGTGATAGTTTCCCACCGTTCCTAGTGTTGTTCTACGGTCCCTAGGTTAGGCGCGTAAGCCGGTAGGCACTAGGGCAGTGGCGAACCACCCTAACAATCTCCCCTGTGGTTTGCCAGCTGCCATCCTCCTATGCTCCCATGGTTACCATGTAACCAGCCTTCTTCTTTCCTTGCTGATCCCGTCCGTAGGATGGTGTAGCATCTCGGGTTGCTGCTCCGCTGCTCCCCTGCAAGTCATGAAAGGTACGTATGCCGACAAAATGCTTGCAATACTCGAAGTTCACTTTTGGTAGTACCTTAGTCAGGAAATCCGCTGGCTGCTCCTGTGTTCCCACGTGCACGAAGGTGAATACCTTCTTCTGTAGCTGCTCCCGTACCCAATGGTACCTCACGTTCATATGTTTAGTGCGCCCATGCCAGTTGTCGTTTCGTGCAAGGTCAATCGCTGATTTGCTGTCCGATTTGATCGTTGTGGGTCCTTCAACTTTGACCCCCATCTCTTGAAGTAGGCGCCTCAGCCACACACCCTCTTGGCATGCATAAAACAGCGCCATGTATTCGGATTCTGCGGTGGACAGAGCGACATCGGTGAGTTTCTTGGCTTGCCATATGATTGCCGTTCCACCAAGGAGGTAGACATAGCCATAGGCTCCCCTCCCATCCTTCTTGTCTGATCCATGTGAGGCGTCAGCGTACCCCACTAGCTCTAGACTCTCCTCTCCTCCTTCAAACAAAAGCCCCTCATCATCCCGCTGCAGAAGGTAAGTGATAGTCCGCTCCATCTCCTTCCACTTGTGTCCCTCTGGCTGCAACACCCTCTGCCCAAGAAAACTTGCAGCGTAGGCCACATCAACCCGTGTGCATGACATTGGGTACATGACTGAGCCTACCATGGATTGGTAAGCTTTGAGCGCTTTCTCCTTGCTACCCCATGCCTCAATTTCTGCTCCCACATCGACCTCCTTATCCGCAAGGCTGCTGAGAGGTGCTGTCACTGGTTTGGTCTTGCATTGCCCTCCAAACCTCTCCCGCAACTTTTGAAAGTACTTCTTCTGGTATAGCAGCAACTTCTTCTCCTCCTTGTTCCTCTCTAGGTTCATTCCAAGGAAGAGAGTGGTCCTTGGAATCTTCTTCACCTGAAATACAGCTGTGAAGTGAGTGCACACCTCCTCCACCTTCTCTTCCTTTGCTCCAGCCACTAGGATATCATCCATGTAGAGGAGTAGGAACACCTTGTTCTCCCCCTCTCCCTTCCAGTAGAATGCACGGTCACATTGACTCTTGATGAACCCTCCTTTTTCCAGCTGCGCCTCCATAGCTAGGTACCACTCCCGTGGGCTTTGTTTCAACCCATAAAGTGCTTTGATGAGTTTGCACTTTCTGTCTGTGCCGTCCTCACACCCCGGTGGCTGATTCATGTAGATAGTCTCCTTCAAAATGCCATAGAGAAAGGCATTTTTTATGTCCAGCTGCACCATGAAGTACCCGCGTGCTGTCACCACCTTAAGCATGGTCCTTGCCGTTGTTAACTTGCTAACGGGTGCGTAGAGTTGGTCGTAGTCCTCTCCTTCCACTTGAGTGTAGCCTTTAGCCACAAGACGTGCCTTGAAGCGTTCAAGTTGCCCCATGTCTCCCGTTTTTATCTTGAAAATCCAGCGCACTCCCACTGCTTTCCTCCCTTCCGGCATGTTCACAAGCTCCCATGTCCCCCTTTCAGCCAAGGTATCAAGTTCCTCCTGTATTGCAGCCATCCACTGCTCCTTGTTTGGCCTGGTCAGCGCCTCTTCAATGGTAAGAGGCTCGGTGGGCAGCTTGTAGCTTTCCACCTTCCCCTTTGATAGTAATGCCGTTGCCGTGGTGGTAAGGAGGAGGTGGGTGTGAATGTCCTTGCAGCAGGTCAGAAGCATTTGGGCATACTTAGGATTGGGTTTCTTGACTCGTTTCCCTTTCCCCATCTCCTGATTCTCATTTTCAGCTCCACTTTTCTCTGCTGCTGCATTATCATCCACTCCTTGTTGCACGAAATCTCCTTCAATCTCCCTTCCAATGACGATCGCACCGTCCGAAAGTAGGTCTTCAATCTCTACTGCCACCTTTTCATTGTCCCCCGTGTCAATGATTCGCCATGGGTCGGAGCAGCCCGTGCTAGCAGATTCAGCCACACTCTCCTCCACATCAGAAAATTCAGCTTCTTCCTCACCGGCTTCATTCGTTGAGTTGTCACTCGCTTCTTCTCCCTTATCATTGTCTTCTTCACTCTCTTCCACAGCAGTTGAAGGTGAGGACAACTCCTGGACCTCCCATACCCAATCGAAATCCGGCGTAGTGTGGTCTTCCTAGTCGTCATTGTCACCGCTTCCATTGGCTGCCCCTATCCCCTCCTCACTCCCATCTATCATCTCCTCCAGTGGAGTTGGTGCTCCTGTCGCTTCCTTTGCAACAGCTCCTTGTTTCCGTCCCTTCCACTCCAAGTAGGTGTCTTGCTCGTAGAAGGTAACATCTCTGGTCGCCGTGACTTTTCCGGTCTCCACATCGCGTATCACCCACCCTTTGCTCTCCGGGCAGATTCCCAAGTGAATCCCCCACTTGGTCCTTGGGAGAAGCTTATGGTCGGGTCTCGTCGCCTATAGGTATTGCGTCATGCAGCCCCAAACGCGTAAGAACTCCAGATTCGGCTTCCTCTTGTAGAACGCCTCGTGAGGGGTAACGTCCGCCGCTAGTCCCTTTGTCGGTAGCCAGTTTTTCAGCCAGCATGCCATGCCTAGTGCATCTCCCCAGTAGTGAAGGGGCAGGTTGCTATCCGCGAGCAAGCTCCTCACGCCCTCCAGCACTGATCGGTTCACCTGCTCCGCAATGCTATTGTGTTGAGGAGTGTAGGGGACCATGAGCTGCCTTCGAATGCCCTTTGATTTCAGGTACGTGTTGAACTCGGCGTTCACGAATTCTCCCCCGTTGTCCGTGCGTAACACCTTCAGCTTCTTGCCGCTTTGCCTTTCTGCTTACGCTTGCCAGTCAAGAAAGCTCGTGAGGACTTCCAACTTGTTCTTGATCTCAGTCACCCACGTGTGTCGTGTGCCAAGGTCGGTGAAGGTAACGAAATTCTTGCTGCCATGTCGTGAAGCCACCCGCATCGGTCCACATACGTCGGCTGCCACAATGGCAATCGTCTCGTATGGCTCACGGACTCCATGCTTGGGATGTGGTGCCTTTGTCGCCTTTGCCTCCACGCATGTGCTGCACTTCAGTTTTTCCTCTCCACCCTCAAGTACCTTCACTCCCGCTGCCATGTTCTTCTTGATCAACTCCTTGATTCGATAATGACCAGCGTGTCCCATCCTCCTATGCAGTAGGTTGACGTCCACCGTGCTCACTGCTGCTGCCATAGGAAGCGCCTGCTGCTGCAACTCCTTGATCGGCACCCTTTCGAACTTGGTGCGGAGCTCATCTCGTGCCACCTTACCCGCTTCCGGTTCAGCCAGGTACGTGACCTTGTCCCCACTCTGTTTCTCGCGCAGCTTCATCTCGTACAGCCCTTGCTTGCGTGATCCCTCCGCTATCACCTTCCAATCCGCTCCAAAGACCCATATGCTCCCCTTGTCGCTGAAAGTTTTGCATCCACCACTATCCAGCTACGATTGGCTAATGAGGTTGAGCATGAGCTTGTCCACCAGCAGCACGTTGTCTAGCTTCACCTCACCATAAGCACTTTGCAGCACTAGGTCTCCTTCCCCTTTCACAGGAAGTTTCCCCTCGTCTCCCAACAGCACATACGGTATCGGTGATGCTCTGAAATTTCTCAGCCACTCCTTCTGGTTCGTCATGTGTTGGGTGTCAGAACATATCTATAGCTTATACTATTGTGTAGGCTGTAGTGGGGTATCCCATAGGGGGTACAACCCAGTTAGGGTTTCATATTTGTACTGCCTTCATTCATAGTTCACACATTCCTATTCACTTATTTCACATGGTTTAGAGCGGGTCCTTCCTAAGGACCGGTTTTTTTAGGGCCCACCGAAGCGCGCCCCGAGGCGCGCATTTTTTTTAGCGACCCCTCGGGTCGCCATTTCCCTCGCGGCCCCGCTGCCCCTCCTGATCGCGGCCCTGCCGCCTGCTTGACGCGGCCCCGCCGCCTCCACTGACGCGGCCCCGCCGCCTCGACTGACGCGGCCCCGCCGCCTCCACTGACGCGGCCCCGCCGCCGGCTCTGACGCGGCCCTGCCGCCCGCTTCGTCGCGGCCCCGCCGCCTGCTTGACGCGGCCCCGCTGCCTCCACTGACGCGGCCCCGCCGCCGGCTCTGACGCGGCCCTGCCGGCCCGCCGCTGCACCTGACAGCCCGCCGCTGCACCCTACGGCCCGCCGCTGCACCCTACGGCCCGCCGCCTCACTTGACGGCCCCGCCGCTGCGCCTGCCGGCCTGCCGCTGCACCCTACGGCCCGCCGCTGCACCCAGCGGCCCGCCGCTTCACCTGACGGCCCCGCCGCTGCACCTACCTGCCCGCCGCTGCACCCTACGGCCCCGCCGCTGCACCTGCCGACTCGCCGCTGCACCGGTCGACCCGCCGCTGCACCTGCCGGCCCGCCGCTGCACCTGCCGGCCCGCCGCTGCACCTGACGGCCCCGCCCCTGCATCTACCGGCCGAGCCGCCCCAGCAGCAGAGCCGCCCCAGCAGCCGAGCCGCCCCAGCCGCCGAGCCGCCCCAGCAGCCGAACCGCCCCAGCAGCCGAGCCGCCCCAGCAGCCGAGCCGCCCCAGCAGCCGAGCCGCCCCAGCTGCAGTGCCGCCCGAGCCGCCCGAGCCGCCCGAGCCGCCCAGCAGTCGAGCCGCCCGAGCCGCCCGAGCCCTCCCTGCACTCCCCTGTCTGGTGAGCACTGAGCTTTACTCTGCGCACTGCCCTCTCTCTACTGCTGTCATGGCTACCCCCAGTGTCCTCGCCTTTGACGCTGAGGGCAGAGCCATTGACTTTGACGTGTGGGTAGACGACCTACTGCTTTTCCTACAGTGCGACAGAGCTGACGGACTCTCTCTCTTTGATCTCACTTCTGGTGCCTCTCCCGCCCCTGCTGCTACTGAGGATGCCACTGTTCGCTCCGTGTGGGCCACACGCGATGCTGCTGCACGTCTTGCTGTGCGTCGCCACCTCCCTCCCGCTGAGCGTGCGCACTTTGGGTCGTACAAGAGTGCTAAGACCTTGTACGACGCCGTTATCGCACGCTACTCCACCCCTGCCACTGCTGCACTGAGCCGCCTCATGCTACCGTACCTCTTTCCCGACCTTGCTGCTTTTGCCACAGTCGCCGACCTCATTACCCACCTGCGCACTAGTGACGCTCGCTTCCGCGCTGCACTTCCTGCTGAGTTCTGCGCCAAGAACCCCCCCCCCCCCAGTACTTCACTCTCTACTACATTGTCACCCGCCTCCCTGACTCCCTTCGCGGAGTCAGGGACGACCTACTCGCAGTCTGCCCCACCACTCTCACTGTCGAGATCCTCGAGAAGTCCCTCCTCGCAGCCGAGAAGAGCATTCTCGCTGTAGGGGCCTCTCGTGGTGACCCGCGCACCCCCATCTTTGAGGGGTGTTCCCCCTCCCCCCTCCTGCCCTCTGTCGCCTCTGCTGCTACGGCCGACCTGGTTGGTTTTGAGTCGGTCGGAGCGGCGTCTGCCCCCAGCGGGAGACGTCGCTCTGGCAAGAGCAAGGGGGGCAGGGGCGGTGGTGGAGGCGGCGGGGGCGGTGGAGGCGGAGGTAGAGGCAGCGGCGGAGGTGAGGGTGGTAGCGGGAGTAGTGGCGGGAGTGGAGGTGTCGGCGGAGGCAGTGGAGGCGGGGGCGGCAGCGGCGGTGGTAGTGGGGGTGGAGGCGGAGGCGGCGGTGGCGGCGGCGACGGTGGGAGTGGCGGTGGCGGTGGAGGTGGTGGCGGCGGCGGCGGAGGAGGCGGCGGAGGAGGCGGCGGAGGTCGTGGCGCGCCGAGGAGGAGTGGCTCCGGTGGTGGTCAGCGCCAGCAGCAGCAGCGTGGTCAGGAGACCCTCTCCCCGCAGCAGCTCCGTGAGTGGTACTCTGCGCGTCAGCGGGGTGGGGGTACTGGTCCGTGCACTTACGTCCTGCGCACTGGCGACCGTGCGGGTGAGCAGTGTGGTGGTCCACACTCCGCCCAGCGTTGCTTCGGCCGCTTGACTGACGCTTGGCGCCGCCAGTTTCCTGACGCCTCTGAGATCCCTCGCTGGGACCAGCTGTCTAGGGCTGGAGTAGCTATCTTTGATCTTGACTTTGATGCTATTCTTGCTGCTATGTATGCTGTGACTATTAGTGAGGAGAGTGACTGTTACCGGTGTTTCCCGCCCGACCCGGGCATTGGTACTGCGGCTCTAGGTGCTGTTGAGGCTGCTGCTCCAGGTGCTGGTGAGGCTGTTGCTCTAGGTGCCAGTGAGTCTGAGTCCTCAGGTGCTATTGAGTCTGCTCTCTCAGGTACTGTGTCGACTTCACCCTCTCTCACTTTCACTCTTGACTCCGGGGCATCTCGCTCCTTCTTTCGAGACCGCACCACACTCACGCCGCTTAGTCGGCCAGTGGCGGTCTCCTTGGCAGACCCCTCCGGGGGTCCTGTTCTGGCTCGCTACTCCACTGTCCTGCCGTGCCCTGCGGTCCCGTCTGGCGCCCTGTCCGGTCTCTACCTCCCCTCGTTCTCTACGAACTTGGTGGCGGGTGCTGACCTACAGGATGCAGGGGTTGACCAGTTCAGCCCTGCGCGCCGACGAGTCACCCACTGCACGGACGCGGACACGGGACGACACCTGACCACATTCACACGTGGTCCAGGGTCGAGCCTGTACACACTCACTGTTCCGTCTCCTTCTCCTGCGTCTGGTCAGGTAGCTGCGTCGGGTCAGGTGTTTGCTGCAGCGTCCAGGTCTGTTCCTGAGTCTGCCCCCTGCTCGTGTCGCCTCCTGTCCCACGAGACCCTCCTGTGGCACCACAGGATGGGTCACCCCTCCCTGCCTCGTCTCCGGGGCATGGCCTCTCGCCTTCCCCGGTCCCTCCCTCCCCTTCCTCCGGGGCCTGGCCCTCCCTGTGTCCCCTGTGTCGAGGGTCGCCTGCGGGCTACCCCTCACTCCTCCCCGTTCCCTCCGACGGAGGCCCCGATGCAGACGCTTCACATGGACGTGTGGGGCCCAGCCCGCGTCCGTGGACAGGGTCACGAGCGCTACTTCCTGCTGGTGGTTGACGACTACTCGCGTTACACCACAGTCTTCCCCTTGCGCAGCAAGGGTGAGGTCACTGAGGTGTTGATCGACTGGATCCGCGCAGCTCGTCTCCAGCTCAGGCGGAGCTTCGGCTCGGACTTTCCTGTTCTGCGTCTGCATTCGGACAGAGGCGGAGAGTTCTCCTCTAGCCTTCTGCGAGCCTACAGTCGGGCACGAGGCATCCGCCAGACCTTCACGCTTCCGGACTCTCCACAGCAGAATGGGATTGCTGAGCGCCGCATCGGCATTGTCATGGACGTCGCCCGTACGTCCATGGTGCATGCGGCTGCCCCCCATTTTCTGTGGCCGTTTGCGGTTCGGTACGCCGCGCATCAGATCAACCTTCAGCCCAGAGTCTCCCGACCGGAGACCTCCCCAGCTTTGCTGTGGACGGGGAAGGTTGGCGATGCGTCGGCGTTCCGTGTCTGGGGATCTCGGGCGTTTGTCCGCGACTTGTCTGCGGACAAGCTGTCCCCTCGTGCTGCTCCCTGTGTCTTCCTTGGCTTCCCCACAGACGCTCCCGGGTGGCAGTTTTACCACCCCTCCTCTCGTAGTGTTCTGTCCTCCCAGGACGTCACGTTGGACGAGTCAGTCCCCTTCTACCGCCTCTTCCCCTACCGCACTCCTTCCCTCCCCCCTCCGCCAGACTTCCTTGTGCCAGTTCCCCCCCCGGTAGACCCCCTCCCCCCTCAGGTTCCTGCCCCCTCAGGTGTGTCCCAGGTAGACGCTGTTGACCCGGTCGAGGTTACTGGTGACTCTGGTGCTGCTGCGGGTGCTGAGCCTGGGGGTGCTGACTCTGGGGGTGCTGTGCGCGGGGGTGCTGAGCCTGGAGGTGCTGCTACTGGGGGTGCTGAGCCTGGGGGTGCTGGGCCTGGGAGTGCTACTGCGGAGGGTGTTGAGCCTGGGGGTGCTGAGCTGGGGGGTACGGTGCCTGGAGCTGCTGAGCTAGGGGGTGCTGGGTCTGGGGGTGCTAGGTCGGGAGCTGCTGATCCTGGGGGTACTGAGTCTGGAGCTGCTGAGCCTGAGGGTGCTACGTCTGGAGCTGTTGAGCCTGGGGTTTCTCCTGCTGCTGCGTCTCGCCGGGAGCCCCTCTCTCCACAGGAGCTGCGCGAGTGGTTTGCTCGCCGCTGGAGGCGTGCTGCTGGAGCTGGAGCTTCTTCGACCGTCGAGGGTGCTGGTGCTGCCGGTCCCGGAGCTGCTGGGTCTGCGGGTACTCCTGGAGCAGGAGCTCCTGAGGGTGTTGGTGCTGAGACTACTGCTGTCTGTCCCGGCGGTGGTTCTACTACT